GGATCACGCTGGGGTGTGTAGATCCTAGGTGTGGTTGTGTCGTGGATCACCTCCCAAGGCATTTCTATGTAGGATACAAATGAAGCAAGGATAACTACATCCGTTAATACCAATAATGTACCAAAGATAGCAGCCATACAAGTTAAACAAGAAAAGTCATTTAAAGGCATAAGAACAAGTATGAAAAAGTAAAGTTATTCCCCAGTGCGGGTGATGGTAAGATGGTGCCACATTCCCTATAACTGGTATGTACAGGCACAGTGAGTAGGAGAGGGTGGCTGTGTGCGCATTTTTAACTTTCACTCTTTAAACTACAGAAGCATCCCTGAAAGCCTCAAGAAGTGCTGCCAAAATGCTATAGCGAGCACCTAAAATGGAATAGCAACACTAATAAATTGTTTTGTATTGTGTATAATATAAAATAAGTTAATTGGTTTAGATACAAATTTGGATTTGTTACTGTTGGAGAAGTTATAAGTAAGAAGCTTTACGTGTGCTCTAGCTTGGGACTGGAATTGGAGATACTTATGTAAACTCATCTTTATACATACAAATATCAGCATATAAGTTCATGTAATCTGTGGGTTAGGATATGCCTCTGTCCACTGGAAGAGCTAGAGGCATTAGTATACCAGTAACAGTGAGCCAACCTGACACCCATGGCTAAATCTTAGAGCACTGTCCTCCAGGAACAAGAACCAGGACTTCTAAATGAGGTTGATGGATCCCAGGACCGATGTCAGACAAACACGAGATGATCCTACAGCCTCTGGTCATCCTAAAAATGAAGACACACTCAATGAAAAGAGGAAGGCCTGTCAGTAGAAGACAGGACGCAACTGGAAGGAGTTTCTACTGGCAGAAACTGAAATGGCTTGAATTAACTAATAACCTTGGTGGATTTTTACCCCTGCAAAGCAAGCATCTATGAGTGATTGCCCCAGACTTAGCAAATAAATATAGGTATGATATTTTGGTCAGAAGTCCAGCCTTGGCTTAATTGAGTCCCTTGCTTAGGGTCTCAAAAGACTAGGTGTTCTTTCTGTCTATGTTCTCATCTAGAAGCCCAAGTAGTGGAGAATGTGTCCAGTTTCTTTCAGACCAGAGCAGAAATCACTTCACTTTGGTTGTGGAAACGGTAGCTTTCCATGACTATGAAAACTCCAGCATGAATTAATAGCAGGGAAATTTGGTGCCAGATCTGATTTTGGGAAGTTTAGAATCCATGCTAAGGTGCCTGCTGCATCGGACCTAAGTCAGCTATTAGCATCATAATGAGAGCATGCCTGCAGTGGGAGTGTAGGAAACAGAGGCTGGACTCCCCAGAGTTCACTAGTCTACGGCTGACTTGGTGAGCTGTCTGTGCACAGGAGAGACTGCCTCAGGGTGGAGGTGGAGAGCCGTCGAGAAAGACCCCTGTGTCTACCTGTCTTATACATGCATGCCAAAGAAATCACTTAGTAAGGAGTGAAACCCTTAAGTTGTACAGCATTCCTGCCTGCTCCTTAAGTCTGTCCACACCAGCAGCTGGGTCTGCCCTTAAAAGTCAGGGTCATACAGAGACATCTCCCTTTGGATCACGTCCAAGTCCACTGAGAGAACTTAACGTACTACAGAACCATGCACTTCCACATAAGGCAACTGCAGGAAGGGACAGTCAGTCAGTCGCCTTTCTTGCAGTGTTCCTTAGAGGCAAGGTGTGGGGACCATACAAGGATTTAGCTTTCCTCAGGTTGAGATCCGTTAACACACATGGACGTGGAAGGGGAGATGGAGAGTCACAGTTAGTAGGCACCCTTATGGTAGACCTCATAGGCAGGACTTTCTAACAGATGCTGAAATTAGCAGGTGAAAGTTGCAGGAAATGTGGGACTTGGATCAACCTCAAGGGAAAATGAGTATCCCAAAAGTGAATACCAGGCAGATCATGTAATCAGCATGAACACCAGAAATGGAGTGTGGGGGTGTCCCACCCCATGATAGGATGAACAGAGAAGGATATGGCAGTCCCACGCATGTCCTCTTTTTCAGCGATAAAATCTGTTACCCAGATCAGACTAGGGAAACACTGTACAAAGTAACTCATTAGTACTCTTCCAAAGTGTCAAGATTATAGGGCATCGGGAAAGACTGGGGGTCTTAGGAAGGCTCTAGGGACAAAGGGGACAAAAGCTAAGAGCAACATGGGATGATCCTACAAGCAGGACATTTACTGAGAAAACATAAGTAGTTTACGTAACAAGCGGCCATGAGGCGAGGTACAGGACCAGTGTTTTTGTAGCTTCTCTCTGAAGTGCTTCAGCTAAGCAAAGTAGAAACTACAGTTGCTCACTGCCACTTCACTTTCGATTGGTACACCCTTTACACAGAAATGTTTACACGGCTGTTAACAAATAATGATCAGCGTAAGTGGTGGGATTCCTTCTCACCATGGTGCTGGCCAGCGTATTTTCCCCACCTTGCTTATATCATTACAAACACAGATGAGGGTAAAACTGGGGCTTAACAAAGGAGACAACTTATTGGTTTGAATTCTGGTTCACATTGAATTATGGAGGTTAGAGTTCCCCCTATGGTTGACTCGCTTACTTTGCATGGCCATGTCCTCCTTTGAAATTATTACCAAACTCTGAAAAAGGTTTGATTTAAAATTAGCATATATAAATCCCCACAGAATTTAAAGTATTTACCTAATTAATTTCATAAAAGGATTCTGGTTTTCCTCCTATGGAGTGTGGCCACAGTGAGTTCTCCTGTGTTATGTGTCACACGTATGTTTTCTGGCTCATCTGCTGTAACAGTAGTTACCCCTGAATGTTCACACGGTGTTATTCCTTAGTAACTACAGTTACGTAAGAGTCACGGAACTTGCTTAAGAGAAGTAGTGCATGAATGAAAGCAGGGAAGTCGGAGTACCGTGCATTTACTTTCCTTCAACGTTAATCAGCTGTCTGTTTTGGTACCAAGGTGAGCTTCCTGTGTGCGCTTCTTTATTGCTTGGCAGGTACATCGCCCTTTGCCTTACACCAGGCAGCCCACAGCAGTGCTTGGCTGTGCCAGTGTTTTATGCATGGTGGGATGGGTCTCCTGCAGCCTTTTCATTTTTTGCTTGGTGCGTTGGATGGGAGACCAGTGCCTCAGGCTGCACAGTGGAAGCCATACTGCCCTGTGTTGACAGAATTGCTGTTTGTTTTCTCTCTGTGAGCCTATGAATCCAGCCTGTCATGCTGAAGTGAGCAGTATGGTGTAAGCACTTACTGTCTTGCACAGCCGTTCCCCAGTGACACTTTTAAGAGCCTGGGTTTGGCTGCAGAGTGCTTTAACTTTCTAAATGGGCTATAGATTGGGGCCACGGGTGCTTCATTTCCTAGGAAACACGGAGCCCACAGTGGCTACAAGGCAATTTTGGTAGATCTATAGCCATGTCAGTGACCAGTGTCTGCCCTTGAAGTTGTTTTAGACCAGAATGTTAAATGTTTTTACTACACAGTTAATTCTTTGGTATTAATACTAGCTACCACAGACGGAGCCACTTGGAGTGTGCTAGGCTTTGCCACACCTCTGTACTACTAGTTGTGAGCACGTCTAGGGGCTCCTCCTTGCTCACAGTGTCTCCCGAGTGTGACAGATGGACACTCAGGACTGTATACCAAGTTTTGTATAATTCTCTAAAACTGGGGTGCGTAACCACCACCCCAGAAACGGAGGCTTGTTTTCCAGCTGTGCTTTGGCCACCACTGCCTCCTGCCTGTGGTGAAATCATCTGCGTGCCTCCTGCTGTCCTGTGCAGCCGCGGTTAGAGTCGCTCGTAAGTGACAGCCCACACACTCTGGGACTTGAGTGTGCACGTGTGTCACGTGACCTCCAGGGGTGGACTTGGTCTTAAAGCCGTTAGTCGCCATCTCTGCTCCGCTGTGGTTCTCGTTAGTGATGCAGTTAGCTATGGGAGGAGTGCCTGTGGGACAGAGTAGTTAGCATAGGTACCATGACCATGTGACTCCCACTCAGGTATGTAGGGAAGTCTGTGTGGGTGCTTGGGGTATCTCTTTCTAGTCACTGTAACCAAGGGAGAAGAAGAACATGAAGTAGCAATGCCCGCATGCTGTGAGTGCTTGGGCCTTGAGGCTGCTGCTAAATCCAGTACATTTTAGTCCGTATCTTTAGCCTTAGACATGTATCTAACCCTCCAGGCCCAGAAGTGAGTTCATAGTGTCAGCTACCTTAGATGATTCTTCATTTCAGAATTAAGCCTCAAGCCTCCACATGATTCATGGCTCTTTTATCGATAAAAGAAGTGTCTTTTCCTTTATTTTGTATTCTTAGATTATGAGTTATTGTATATTCTTCATGCTAAGGGAGGTATTCAAGGAATGAAAATAAATGATTCTCATCTCAAGAAACTTACATTATATGTGAAAAATTGAGTAAACATTAAACAACTGGGAATTAAATACATGCTGTTGCTCTATCAGCAACAGAAATCAGAAACTGCAGCATGACGGACATCCTCTCACCAGTGCTGACGTACTTATACTTTGTACTGCTTAGTGGGGCCTTCTGAGCTTAGGCTGAAACTCTGCTTACTCGAAATTGATGTTGCTGTATTGATTAGATATGAATGAATAAATGAATGAATGAGTAAATGCCAGCCCTTTTTCATTTCTGCCCAGTAGAAATGAGTTCAGAGACTAAGTTCTGCTGGCCATTCTATGTTTGTGGATACGGTGAGGGATGTGTGGGATGCAGCCATTGGTTGCTTGCTCTGTGAGTTTGATAACCCATGCAGCAGCATGTTTGGTTGGTTGGTTGATTGGTTTAAGCAGGTCTTTTGGTAAATATCTTTATCTTCTTCATTTGACAAGGAAAAATAAAACATACTTTTTTTAGCTCTCTTCTCTGTGCTTTCTGTGATCATCAAAGTGAACTGTAAGTGCCTTGGTTCTTGTGGTTGCAGTATTAATGCAAAGTATAAACTCTCCTTTTTCTCCTGTTTTTTATAGGCAGCCAGATGCCTCCACAACCACCTGGAAGCCAGTCAGAATCCAGTTCTCATCCTGCCTTGAGCCAGTCACCAATGCCACAGGAAAGAGGTGAGTCTCGGGACACGCAGCCCTCCCACTACAGACAAGTTCTATGAAGTTGCTCACCCATGTGGCTCTCTCTAATTTGTAATTTTTAAAGACGGAGTTTCCTGTCAAAGGAACACGGGCTTACAGGTAACAGCAATTACTAAGAGGATTCTTTCTTGTAGGTTGGGTGACATTTGGCTGAGGGGAACTCTAGACCCAAAGAATGTATACTTACAATGCACCACAAACTGTCACCTACACAGACACATCTCATGTCACACTCATTCTGATAAGACAGTGTCTGTGTTTGTGTATGTGTGTGTGTAAACATACATGTATGTGTACATGTGTGTGTATGTGTGTTCATGTACGTGTATGCACATGTGTGTGTATGTGTGCATTTGTGTGGGGGGGTGCACTCACGTGTATGTGTACATGCACATGCTTTAATCACTCATTCCCATGGTATTTACCAGCAGATTTTGAGCACATAACAAGATCATGTATAAGATGGTAAGGTCTTCAGACTGGAGTCAACCCGAGAGACCACATAGTTTGATCCCCAAGGGAGACCATAGAGTTCATATCGACTCCCTCACTAGAAGTTTGGTAGCATCCGGGTCAGAAACGGAGCATATGTTTCCATGGTGCTTTCAAGCAGATGTCTTCCCACACTTGCAAACTACTCCCCATGGCTTTGCTGGGTACTGAATGTCACTCCATGATGTTCACAATGCCTGGGGTCCCTCAGGCTTATCCCTCGGTCCTTTGGTCGTTGGCAGGGTAGTACACTCAGTGCTGGGCCGGTGTAGGGAACGGTGGTTTTAACCCAGATTTGGAATAGAGAGGTCCTGCACTGCTGGAGCAGCGGCCATGCTGACCTCATTAGTGTGGACAGGCGTGATGGACTGTGAATGGGCTGTGGTTCTGTCGGGTCTATACCTGGCCTCTCCTGCTTACAGGTCAGTGTGTCACGTTTTCCATACTGGCAGCCTTAGATGCAGAAGCTCGTAGGTGCTGGTGTTCCCGAGTATTCCTGGGAGATTTCCTGGGATGGTTTTGAAACCGTGTGAGAGAGTGATCAGAGAGTCTTGTGCACACTGTGAGCCACTAGCCGAGCGGAGCCCCCAGCCCTCAGAGGGCATCCCCGGCCCTTAAACGGCATGGAAACCTGGTGTGCCTGGGAAAGCCTAGGTAAATGAGTTTGCCAGGCAGAATCCGAGCATCCCCCTGCATAGGCATCACTGTGTCTGTCATTCTTTTCTGTTACCTTTAGCATGATTTGAGTAATACTCTGGATATGTGGTCATCTGGGCGGCAAGAACCAGCGTTTCCTTCAAATAGCAAATTAATAATTAATACTATAAGTTGCTACAACTAAAAAAAATTTATAAGCATATTCCCTAACCCTTCTCCTCTGAAAGACTACTGAAAACATGGCTGGACAGCTTCCAAAAAAGCAAAACTTGCATTTTTTAAAAGTAAGTAGTGAGTTAAATAACAGGCTGATGTATATGACTTAGTTTTCCTTTAAAAATGGGTGAAGGGGATATAGAAATGTAAGTTTGAAAGAAAATAAGTTCCTGGGCGGTGGTGGTGCACACCTTTAATCCCAGCACTTGGAGGCAGAGGCAGGCAGATTTCTGAGTTCAAGGCTAGCCTGGTCTACAGAGTGAGTTCCAGGACAGCCAGGGCTATACAGAGAAACCCTGTCTCAAAAACAAAAAACAAAAGAAAAGAAGTTTATTATTTGTTAAAATTCAAGAAGTGTTTGCTACTAGTAATATTTGATACAATGCTAATGACGAAGCCCTTGTTTTGTTACCTGTTGCTGAGTGCTAGGCATGAACACGCACACACGGGGATCTTTAGAAAACGCCTCACTGTTCCCTCCTGTGTACTGCAGTAAGTTACCACCACTGATGCCCTTACAGTTAACATCTGCCCTCTGGTTTTGGTAAGACCAGATAAAAATGTAGCTTCTCAGCTGCTCAGGGATGAAAGAGCTGGGTGCCTTCCTTCCATGTTTCTTGTAATAAGTTGACCGTGAAGTAGTGAGATGTCACACTCCACTTCCTTTTATGTACACTCAAGACATACACACTCATGTCAAGGACTATACAATACCTGAATACAGACCCACAAAAGGGTGTTGTGCCTCCTCCTCTACAGGGGGCAGTATTTGGAGCCCATAATGCCCTTCCTCAAGCCCCATGACACACGAGGGATATCCTGGAACCAACTCCCTCCAGGCTCTGTATGATGAATTCTTTTAACTTCTGTACTGACATCATTCCTTCTGCTTGGCCCTGTGTTCTTCATATCTTCATAAGCACCCTGCTCAGGAGAGGGTCACAAACACCAGAGTCTCATGAACTGGACAACTTTGGTATCTGCAGGCTGGTACGGTGCCCACATACCATGAGGGGTGAGTTTCTAAGCTCTGCAGCCTCCACTCCCCTCTCACCTGGGGCCTCTGTTGAAGAGCATCGGACACGAAGTCCTTTCCCCACGATGTACTTAGATGCAGGTAACCGTGACTCACTGCAGATTTTGATTTTTCTGCTATAGAAAGAAGGTAGCTCAATCTACACACAGATGTGGCAATATAGGTCATAAAACAGAGAGAAACTCTTGGATGATGTTTGAACTTGTCATACTTATCTATAGCAACAGTTCTCAATCTCTCGGTCTTGACCTTGGGTGGGTCAAACGACCCTTTCACAAGAGTTGAATATCAGTTATTTACATTATGATTAATAACAGTTACAAAATTACAATTATGAAATAACAATGAAAATAATTTTATGGTTGGGGGTAACCATAACATGAGGAACTACTATATTACCAGGTTGCAGCATTGGGAAGGTGAATCACTGTGGTCTGGTGTTCTCTACAATTTCACCTGTTTTCCAGCGTAAAGCTCTGTCTGATCCTTCACCACTGAAAGGTTTACTAGCTCAATAATTTTTCTTTGAAAAAAGGTCAAATCTTGAGTTTGATATTCTGTAATAACATGTATTTGCCTGGTCTTTTCAATGTGACAAAGATCTGATGAAGTAATTTGACAGGAAGTGACTTTGGGTGTGGTGTCACCTGACTTCTCCACTGGCTAGGGCCTGAGGGAGCTGGAACATCACAGAGGAGATGCCACAGTGAAGCAGAGTTCCTTACCTCCTGACAGCGGAGAAGCAGAGACAGCGTCAGGGCTAGATTGCCTCCACAGACGGGCTTCAGCAAGGGCCTCCTCCAAGTGAGCACTGGCTCCTGCTGAGCTCCTGTCACCTCCCAACAATACTGTCTAGCAATGAGTCTGTCCATGGATAAGTTAGTGATTAACTCAAAGCCTTCTGGATCCAGTTTTTTAATCCGTGATTGAATGTACCACCTTCAGAGCCAAGACCTCAACACAGTAGGTTTTCTGCGGGGGACATGCCATACGTAAACTATAACAGAACACATTTACTACTGGTTTTTGTTTTTAGCCAAATCTCTCTGTACAACTCATGTGACTTCATGCAGCATTGCAGTCTTCTCAGTAGAAATCAGAGTATAAGGAAACTGTCACCAAGGCTTCCAGTTGACTGTGGCTTTGCTTCTTTATTTCAGTGTCTGTGTCTCTTGCTTTCTAAAGAACAATATTAAAAGGCTGATTAATGTATAGCTTGTTTCTCAGGAGGGCTTGGACAGAATATGGAATTGTCATCTGACTAGATAAATAAGAACACTGGAGTGATTGCATTTTTAACCCTAAAACACGATAAGCCTAATGAAACTAGCAAATGCCCTTCTGCTTTATTGGATTAGCAATTAGGCAAAAACATTGACGGAAGCCTTATTTATTTGGACAGATGTAGAGAGGTCAGAATTAATTTTTTGCAAGCCTTTTAATTGAATTCCCTTTTAATTTTCGCAGTGGTATCTAGTTAAATATTCATGTTGGAGCTGGTGATTTTCTGAAGGACTACACTAGAACTGGATTCATAAAACCAACAAGGCTTGTTTAACCCTTTTCATCTAGTGTGCCAGCAGGGACTTCCTGAGCATAATCCCACAGTATTTGAATAATTAGAAGGTGGTAATGAGGATTTAATTAGTCCTTGAGATAGGTTAGAACAGAACCCCTAAGAACTTTCCCTCTTGGACATGGATGGCAGGCAGAATTGATGTGCCGCTGGCTGTGGTGTGCTGGAAAATGTATTCTGTGGCTTGAGGCAGTCCTTTGGCACTGTTGTGTGAGCATGAGATCAACATGGGAGGCGTCTTGGGTGATGTCTTCCAGAAGCGTTGAACAGCAGCTCCAACCTTCGCTGTCTCTGTGCCGACCTACATAAAAGATCCTGTTCTCCTCTCCATGTTGAGAAAAAGGATGCCATCACAGCATGAGGGCAACCGTCCCTAACTGAGGATCACTTCTGCCTAACAGAGACCAAGATCAGCTGAGTCAGATTAGTCCAACCAAGAGCAAACGACGACATAGTGTGCATTTACATAACTGTCAAGTATTTTGCGTGACCAAACCTTGTGGGGTGTATGGCCATTGTTTGTCAACAGAATCGCACACACAAAAGAAACTTATCCCTGGAATCTCACCTTCACAGTGATGTTTCTCAATAACTGTATTTTATAAATAAAATAGTAATAGTCTGCGACCCAGGAAAGCATGTAACAGAACAGGCCTATAACCTGAGATGCTTTTGTGTAGTGCCAGAGTCAGAACCTTGGTGGTTACTGTTGGCCCTTCAGTGCTTAGGTGTGGGTGGTTGATTCTGTTGTTGTTGTTGTTGTTGTTGTTGTTGTTGTTGTTGTTTTCTCTCGATTTTCTGTGTATGGGCACATTGCTTGCATGTGTATCTGTCCACACTAACCCTGTCTTAGAAACTCTGTGTCACTAGTTCTGTGAGCTGCTGAGATCCTGCCTGGGTCTCTCACTAGTTTTAGGTCCAGATCACTGGCCCATGTTTAGCTTCAGAATCAGTACTTGCCATGTGTGAGGTAAAAGAAGAGGCCCCTGTGTGGTA